GAATGGTGCAGATTACAGTGGCTTCCTCCCTTACCCGCCATGTTTCCACCTTCTGGGCTCTCCGGGCTCTCAAACCCTTCCATTAAATTGTCCAAAAGATTTTCCTCATCTCCAGCCAGGCACTGACAATCTAGCCTAACTCAGCTCTGCAGGCCTGCGACAGCGACCCTGCTCCAGTCTTCCCTACCAGATTGCCCCCTGGGTAGTGCAGGCTCCCAGCCTCCGAGGGTTATCGCCCAGCAGGTCCTTTCCAGAATTTGGAGAAGAACAATGGGAAATTATGCAAGAAGGCGAGAAAAGGAAAAACATGTGTGTTGGGGTAAAGTAAAACAGAGTCAACAGAAGAAAAAAGAAAGAAAGAAAGAAAAAGAAACAGATGAGAAAGGAAGATCCAAATGGCACGAAGGGAAAAAAGAGAAAACCAACAAAGGGGGAAAAAAAACGGGAGAAAGAGAAGCAAATAGAGAAAAAGAGTATACGTGACAACAGCCAGAAAGGAAACAAAGGAAAAAAAATAAAAATGAGGCAAGGGACAGGGGCGCCAGAAAGTAAGGGATAAAGAGAAAAAGAAAGAAATCATGAAAGAACATGCAAAAATAAGATTTCTGATACTGAAGGCTGAAAAACACAATTACAAAAGGAAAATAAAGATACTAAAAAACAGAAGGAAGGTAAGGACCAAAGAGAAAAGAAAGGAAAGGGCGCACCCCAGTTAGATGATTTTCATAAAATCTGGAGAAGCTAAGCGACCCCAAGCTGTTCGGCCAGGCCCGCTCAGGCTGGCGGGACAGTGGAGCCCGGCTCTTTCCAGAGGAGAAAGCGCCCCCGATGCAAATAAACCCTCGTTATTCATCGTGACCGACCTGAGGGCCGCCATAGTCGCCACCACATACATTGCTCCAGTTAGAAGGAAGGCACCGGGCGCTCACTTCACAAAACATAAAACATAATTTAACAAATGCCCCTAAGCGGGGCGGGTGGGCGACTCTCGACCCCTCCCTCTCCTTGGCGGGTCTCAAACCCGGGCGGGGGGCGGGAGCTGACACGGAGGTGCCAAGTCCCCGTGGCCGGAACCCCTGGGGGCGCGGCGGCCGCGCTCAAAGGCCGGGCTGTAAAGGTCACAGGCGGTCTGCCCGGCTGCGTTGAATGGGCTCCCGGAGGTAAACAGACTCTTAACTTTCAACTTGGCCTTGACCTTCCTGGAAGTGTCTGGCGGGTATGTAAAGGAGCATGCTGAGGCTTTCAGCGCATTTGGATGGGTCAGTAAACGTGGCTGAGAGGTTCTGGGTTCCTCCCGGAGGGTCTGCCTTAAGGCTCCCAGCAGGACACAAAGGCCTCTCTGGGGATGGGGGAAGGGCAGGCTCTGCCCAGGCAGGTTGGGTGATCAGGACGCCTGATTTGTGCAGGGATTTGGGTGCTGAACTCATGTAGTCTCAGAGAGGGCTTGGAGGGGCTGAGCCTTAGCTTCTCTATGTGAAAATTCAGGCTTACATAGCAGTAAGTGACAAGTGACTGGTATTCTCTAGGACAACTGTCCGTTTTAAATAAAAGCAGGTGGCTTCGTTAGAAAAATATATAGGAATACAAGCAGAAGTCATGTTTATTCAGTGTATGAAATGCTTTCAGGTGAAAAATCTCATTAAATTGTCACAACATTCCTGTGAAGTGGGAATTATTATCACAATTTTTACAGATAAGGAGGCATAATCCTACCTTATCTGACTCCAACTGACATATACAATAGGATAGATGCACATATCTCTATAGACAAGCGCAGGAAATAGGAGCACATAACCAGGTGCTAATAAATATGAGATCCAGAACTGCTCCCCCAAATCTATAGTAGATGCTAAATGAATTATAACCAAGACAAAACCCATAGTATTATTTGTATTGAAATGTATCTGTTTGTGTGAGTCTCTAGCACAGCTGGTGAAAGTTTGTCTTCCTCCCACAACAATTCAGAGTTATATGCACTTTAATGCTATTTCCATGGACATGGGTATAAGCATCGTATCTCCAAAATAGCTTAGTTGCAGACAATTCTTCTATAATTTTTTTTCAGTGCTTGTGCTCTAACTCAGGGTCTTATACATACTAGGCATGTGCTTTACCACTGAACTGCACCCTAACCCTGCTACTATGAATTTTAAATTTTTTGTTCTAATTATTTTTTCTTTTAAAAATGAGGTAAAACTGATATACATAAGTGTTAAAATTCCGAGCATACAATTTTCAATTTTTATAAAAATTGTGCAATTTTCACAAAACGGACATACCCATGTAACTCTAGCACATGCAGATTGAGATGGAGAACATTTCCAGCACCCCACAGACTTGTTTGTGTCCCCTTTATGTTAGCAATCCCCCTAGGATAATTTTTATTGTGACCTCTGGTATCACACACTAATTTTGTTGGTCCTTCACATGCTCTCCTTACTCCCACTTCTATAGGGGATTGAATCCAGGGCCTCTCACACTTTACCACCAAGCTGTATTTCCAGCCCTTTTCATTTTTTAGTTTTTAACAAGAACTCACTAAGTTGCCCAGGATGAGCTTGAACTTTTCCCATCCTCATGTCTCAGCCTCTAAAGTAGCTGGGATTATGGGAATGTGTCACTGAGGTTGGCTTTCTGGTTGTTCTTGAACTGTGTAAAAATGAAATCATACAAAAATTATTTTTTTGTGTGTGGCTGGCTTCTTTATCCCACATATCTATGAAATGCATTCATGCTGTGTATGGCTGTGGTTTGTTCTGTTTTTAAATTCCTGTATAATACTCTATTGTTTAATTCCAGCTTGATTTCTTTACCTATCCTACTGTTGATGGACATTTGGGTTGTTTCTAGTTTCATGTACCTTCTAATACACACCACCTCTGCTGTTTTGTCTTACTCTTTCTCCTCCTCCTTCATCTTTTCCTTTTTTAAATATGAAACATTTCACAAATTTGCATGTTATCCTTGCACAGGGACCATCCTAATCTTCTCTGTATCATTCCAATTTTAGCACATGTGCTGCAGAAGCAGGCACTAAAACATGCCTTCTGATAGATAATAATTTTCGTTTTTTGTTGGATTTATGCCCAGGAAGTTTGGGTTTTAGAGTGCAAATATGATTTAAATTTAGGAATCTATTTATGCCTGTACTGTAGTATAGCCATGAATAAATTTACACACGGAAGCTTTATCCTCCACGTACACGTATGTACATGTATATATGTTTGCTTACTTACTGGATGCTGAAATTGTGGAATCCTCCTATGTATCCCTAAACTATCAAATAAAAATCATTAGAAATTTATCAGTCTTTAGGAGAAAATCCTGGTATTTTTTGTCTTTTATAGACAAGTAAAATTCTTTGATGAGAAATTGAAAATCATTGAGGAGACATTTCCCTCCTTTCCTGTTGAATTCAAATGTGGTAAAATCTTGCTAGGATTCCATGTTTGGAATCCTCAATTATTAGTAATATTCATTGAAAGCAAACTACATTACACTGCAGCCCTACAACTCCCAAGTAACTCCATCTTGCACGGGCCCTTTCCCACCAGGTAGCTCAAGTTCAAGTTCAGGTTGGTGAGAGGTTGTGGCTGAACTCAATCAGAACTCAGGGTAGTAACTGCCAAGACCCTAGTGTAGACTAGAAAAGTTCCTGTTTTTCTTCAGAAAAACTGGGGGGATGAAGGGGGCTCTAGAAAAAGCAGATAAGAGGATTTGATTTGGGAGGGATAGTGAAGGAAAACAGAAAACCTCTAAAGACAGATTTGTAAATGAAACTGAATCTTTTGGAATGAACTGCTCAATAGGCCCCAAGAGAGGGGCCTCAAGCAATACTGCCAGCGGTTGGAGCTCCTCTTCTTCTTCTAAGGAAGTTTAAAGTCTAGAGAAAGCAGATGTGGTGCTGGACTTTTTGGGCACTCAGCTAAAGTGGAAGTGTGCTGGCACTAGGGACAATTTGCTGGCCCTCCTGAATCACAGGGAGAGGACCGCGGGGCAGAGCGGCTGGGCTGGGAATTCCACACAGTCAAGACAGCCTCTTGAATTCTCGGGATCCAGGATCCCCAAACTTGGTTCATGACCAGTTAGCCAAGCTTTGCTACCCCAGAAGCAAAGGGGAAGGAGGGTGAGAAAAGATTCTCTTTTCCAACTGGCACTTCAGGATTTTATAAGATAGCACCCTTCATGCTGCAATCCCTGAATGTCTCTTTCTCTCTCTCTCACTCTTTCTCCTTCTCCCTCCCTCCCTCTCCCCCCATCTTGCCTCCCTCCTGTCATTATCTTGTGAGTCTGTCTCTCTCCACCCTTAAACGGAAATCCAGACCCCCTTTCACAGGCAGCATGTAGAGGCCCCATTTCCCCTTCAGGCCTGGACGCTGCGTGTCTTGGGCTCCAGACCGCACGTTTTCTACGTTGAGTTCGTGTCTCCCGCCCCCTTGCTCCGCCTCACCCGGGATTGGGGCCACCAGAGCCTTCTGGGCAGGAGTTAGGGTCCCTGGGGAAGGGGTGTCCCAGGCACTTCTCTGGGCATCAGAGGAGCTCATTTCAGAGCATCCAGGTCGGGAGGGGCATCTGGAGTGAACTGGAATGGTACCCAGGCCCCAAAGCAAAGGGCTTCCGAAGTACCCTCATTTCCCAGTTTCCTCTTAGGCGCATTCCCGGGTTCTCCTTTGAGGCCGGGAGCGGCCTCCCAGCCCCACCCCCGACTCCCCTTCCCGCCCCCCCCAGGAGATGGACACTTTATTGGGAGAGCTTTTTGTTCTCTCGTTAAACCTGCCAAAGCGCAGGAGACAGAGAGCCAGGGAGAGAGAGGAGTAGACGGAGGTGGGGCTCTGCTCCTCGTCCCCTCTCTCTCCGCAATTTCTGCTGGGAAGATTTTATGAGCTTCTCTCCCCCAAGCCGCAGCCAATCAACGCGCGTGCCTGGGCCCCTGCGTCTCCTGCGTCAAGACGGGCGGACAGGGCGAATGCAGGCGCCGTTCGAGCTGGGAGCGGTTTAAAACGCTTTGGATTCCCCGGGCCTGGGTGGGGAGAGCGAGCTGGGTACCCTCTACATCCCCCACCCCCAGCGCCCCATGAGCGGACCCTCGGCCCCATGGAGCCTGGCAATTATGCCACCTTGGACGGGGCCAAGGATATCGAAGGCTTGCTGGGAGCAGGAGGGGGTCGGAATCTAGTCGCCCACTCCCCACTGCCCAGCCATCCAGCGGCTCCTACACTAATGCCCGCTGTCAACTATGGCCCTCTGGATCTGCCAGGCTCTGCAGAGCCACCAAAGCAATGCCACCCGTGTCCTGGGGTGCCCCAGGGGGCATCCCCAGCGCCAGTGCCTTATGGCTACTTTGGAGGCGGGTACTACTCCTGCCGGGTGTCCCGGAGCTCGCTGAAACCTTGTGCCCAGGCGGCCACTCTGGCTGCCTACCCCACGGAGACTCCTGCAGCTGGAGAGGAGTACCCTAGTCGCCCCACCGAGTTTGCCTTCTATCCGGGGTATCCGGGACCCTACCAGCCTATGGCCAGTTACCTGGATGTGTCGGTGGTGCAGACCCTCGGTGCCCCTGGGGAGCCTCGACATGACTCCCTGCTGCCTGTGGACAGTTATCAGCCTTGGGCCCTGGCCAGTGGCTGGAACAGCCAGATGTGTTGCCAGGGTGAACAGAACCCACCGGGTCCCTTTTGGAAGGCGGCATTTGCAGGTAACTTCCACTACCCTGTGTCCCCTTGGCTCTTGAGAGTGGGCTACGCTGGCACTTGCCTGGGAGGAGGAAGGAGAGGAGGGATACTTGGGGCTGATGAGGAGGAGCTTCGTTGCTTATTAGGATTCTAAAGGAGGGTCCTGTTGGAGGGCCTGGATGGAGGCTCCAGAGGGTCAATGTGAGGGACCTGAGCTGGATGTTATCTGAAGCCTGAGGTCAGCCAGCCTCCCTCGCTTCCCCCAGGAAGCCCTGGAACTAGCTCTTCAATGTCAGAGAGCCTTGGAATCCTTTGCTGTGAGTTAGGGCCATGGTTTCCTACCCAACACAATCCCAGCCTAATTCTACACAAAGACTAACAATTCAGTGAGTGTGAGGGTTGTAGGGGAGAAAAGGAGGCATTGAGTATTCTTTAGAGAATATTACCCTCACTTTCTCTTGGGCAAGTTTTCAATTTCCAAAAGAAAATTTACTTTTCCTGCCACCTAAGGTGTGTGTGTGTGTGTGTGTGCAGAAACGTGTTTACTCCTGTACAGAATTTGCTTGTAGAATCTTTAAGTGACGGAGAGTGAAAATTCTTGTGGGGGTGGATGGATGTGATCGTGGGTAAAAGGCCTGATTGTGTGTGGTGGGTGTGTTTGTAGACTCCTGGGTGGGAGGGCAGTGATGGGTGAGGGTGGCCTGCGGGAGGAGAGGCTGAGAAGTGATCAGAGACCCAGCCGTAATCCAGGGAGTGCCCCAGCGTGCTTTGGGGGAGTATGAGCGCACATGCGCCAGTGGGATGATCTGGATGCGCCTGCAAGATGACGTAGCCTCGGAGCTTTCGGGGCCAGGGTCTGCGGTTAGGTTGGCGCTAGGTGGGGGTCTGAGAGTGCTTTTCCTCCCTCCCTTTCCTGACACACAGACTCCAGCGCGCAGCACCCTTCCGAAGGCTGTGCCTTCCGCCGCGGCCGCAAGAAACGCATCCCCTATAGCAAGGGGCAATTGCGAGAGCTGGAGCGCGAGTACGCGGCTAACAAGTTCATCACCAAGGACAAGAGGCGCAAGATCTCAGCAGCCACCAGTCTATCCGAGCGCCAGATTACCATCTGGTTTCAGAACCGCAGGGTCAAGGAAAAGAAGGTTCTCGCCAAGGTCAAGACCAGCGCTACCCCGTGAGGGATTTTCCTGGTTGAGTGGGGGAAGGGGAAGGTGGGGTGTCCTGAGGAGACCAGAAAACTTGCCAGAGCCTGACTGGGCAAAGGACTCCGTGAGGGGCCCCCAGAGATGACATTCTTTGCAGGCCACTGGCTCCTGGACTATTCCTCAGGTGCAGCCTGGGCATCCTGTATGTATGTGCCAGGAGAGTGAGGTTTAGAATTACAGTTCTCTCTGCCAGGGTTCCTAAAGAATCCATCCCAGTCATAATCATTCATTCTAACAGTGGTGATAATCATGATAACCAGTACTAGTTGCCATGATAATTAGTCTCATATTTTCTATCTAGAGCTCTGTAGAGCACTTTAGAAACTGCTTTCATGAGTTGAACTGATTATGAATAAACTTGGAAGGCGATCCCTTTGCAGGGCAGCTTCCTCTCAGACCCACTTCTATTTTCATTCCACCCCTCCCCCATATTCCAGTGACATCAGGAAAGCAGGGGAGAGGAAAAAAGGCAGATTCCTCTGTGGAAGTGATGCTCATCCAGAATTTTCCTAAGATGACAGCTGGGCAGGATGTCCCTACCTACTCTCTAGGTCGTGCCCATCGGGAAGCTCCATTTCTAACGCTTCAGTTTTTCAGTTGCATGAAAATGAAGCCACAGGCTGCTCTAGTCTGTCCTTCTTCCAGAGAAACAGAGTTTGAGGAAGTGCCTGGGTAATTCAAAGCTTCTCACTTCCTCCCCCAAATTCACCAAGTCTGCCCTCAAAGTCCTTGGTGGTTCCGACCCAAGTAGGCCATAGTTTATTGGGCATTTAGGAGCCACATGAAGTAGATATTTGTGGCATTGTAGAGCGCGCTTATCAGACACAGTAGTTATGGAAGAGAGAGTAGTAATCTATGCTACCCATAGGCCAGTCCCAAGCATGCTGGGATAGCTCAGCAGGAGCAGAAACCACCCATTTTCTCCTTTGTCTTTCTGAGACACCCAGAGGAACTTAGGAGCCTCAGGCTGGGAAGATGTGCAGGTCTTTGTGGGTGAAAGAACTACTGACTGTAGAGGTGTAAAGACCAGGACTCAGGGTGGAGGAACTCCAGGTGGCCAATATCCCACTGGCCTCAGACTTCCTTTCCTTTTCACTAGCTCAGTCCACATACTTTGAATCCTGGGTGGGTGGAAGGCAGAGTGGCACCAAAGTTTGCACTATGTATCTCAACCTTGTTTTCCAGGTTGGGATACATAGTGCAAAATTCTGGAAACTTGGAGTAGACTTTTTTCTTTTTTTGCAGAGCCAGAACCTTGAGAGAGACATTGGTTTCCACCTCTGTAATGGTTCCCTGATGTCTTGTACATGAGCCCAGTGGCTGACGGGACCGCCAACCTGGGCCTTCCTGAGTTCTGGTTTGGTGGGGGTCCCTGGATACAGTGCACAGACCCTAAAGTAGGGAGAGCCCTCTGGACCTAAATTTCCAATGGTGGGTGGGTGGATGGTGAGCAGTGGCTGGCAGAAGCCACCATTTCAGGGGGCTTTCTCTTTCCAAGCGGGCTCACAGTTCCTGAGGAAACTCCAGGGTGGCTGCCCCAGCCAAGGGATTCAAAAGTGTCTGGCCGTGGTTGGGTAGGATCCCAGCCCTGGCTTGTCTCCTGGGAAAAGAATGAGAAGGGAAGCAGTACTGATTCTTCTACATTAATTTACCAGAAAAGCCAGGAATGAGGGAAAAGGCAGAAGGCTGGAGGTCAGCCTCCCTCCCTGGGTCTCAGATTTTGTGTGTTGGGGGGTGGATAGGAGGAGAATGAGACCTCCTCTTCCTGACTGAAAAATTCCTTCCAAGCTCTGTGGTCTAGTCTAAGCTCCTTGGTTACACACCCTGGTCAGAGGAGATCACTTTTTGCCTTCCACATTCTCCTTCAAGTGAAGCAACGTGTGGGCAGCTTTTCATGTTACAGGTTCTTATTTCTGTCACTATAAACCCAAACCTGACCAAAGAGACCAAATGCTAGCAAATCTCTCCCTTGCTAACTTCAGAAGTGGCGAGACTTCAGCGCCGATGGGCACGAGGAAAGGGTGTAAGATCAATGAGGGGAGCATCATGGCGAATGCTCCTCACATGGGGAGGGGTAAAGGCCACAAGATGGACTGCTTCCTCAGTTGATGGAGATGACCCAGGTGGAGGCCTGTAGGCGATGAGGGGCTTCTAGACTTCCAGGACCCTAACTCCTCCATTCTTCTGCCAGGGACTTGAATTTTCGGGGCCCTATTTTTTTTTCTCACAGTAATTTCAGAGCAAACAAAAGATTTGAAGGTTTAAGAGATTTATTCTGCTAACCCGTGTGTTTAGACTATAAAGAAGACAAGGGCGCCCCCTTCCGGCAGATGTTCGAAATTTCAAGGGAACCCACCGGCCGCCCAGCTGAGCTTACAGTCTTACAGGCTTACAGTCCCGCGGTAGCTTCCAGCCTGCAGGGTTGGAGGGTCCTGGGTTGCGTGTAAAGAGCTCCAGGACCAGGAGTTGCCTGCAATTTAGTCAATCAATCCGCAGATCTGTCGGTTCATGTATAAAGTCAGTCTCTGAGAGGCCCAGGAGGAGAACAAGGAGAGCCAGCACGGAGCAATTCGAATAAAAGAACAGGGTGGTCAGAACTCAGAATAAGGCGGCGGCGCCATCTGCCTTTGGTCCATGTCTTCCTTCCAGGGGAATAATATATTCACCTTCCTCCCATAGTAATTCACGGTGACCCCTTTTTTTTTTCTGATTGATTTGTATAGAACCTGTGCAAAAAAAAAAAAATATCAATTTCGTTTTTTATTAAACCTTTTTATGGAATCATTTTCCAAACACCCACTTTATTCCCAAAGTGAATTATATCCACCCACCACCAACTGGTGAAACTCTTATTGTGTCCAAATCACATCAGGGCTCAGTGGCAGAGCGCTTGCTTGCCTAGCATGAACGAGGCCTTGAATTTAACACCCCGCCCCATACACACACAACGCAAAAGCTACATAAATCACAACAAAATCTACTCAATCACTCGCCTGCAGCTATTTCCTTTAAATAAGTACTATTTAAGCTACAATCGTGGTTTTATTTAAATTACTTAGACAAACGCGTGAGCACAGCATTCAAAAATAGGTAACTTCAGACGTTCTCACGGACAAGTAGACGCAGAGGCACACACCTGAACTCTGGAAAATTCGCCTTTTCACCAACAAGGCATAATTCCTTTTGAGCGCCGCTCCACACTCTTCCCCTCCTTCTGAGTCAGCGGTGCTCCTCCAGGAGAGACTTTCAGCAAGGAACGAAACACCGCGTCTACCTGGGCTCCGAGACCAAAATCATTTCTAATTCCAAACCAGGTAGATTTTATTAGGCCTCACAGAGGACGATAAATAGCGGTGGTGGTGAAATGTGTGGTCGCGACCTCCGGGAGCTCTTTTTAAATCTAGATTTCGACCACGGCAAAGCGGAGAACGATTCCGAGGCTCCGTGGTTAGGGCCTTTCTCTCCGCTGCAGAGAAACGCTTCCCGCCGTCCACCACCCAGCGGGGCCACAGCGGGCCGGGAATCGGCCCTGAATCCCCTCCACCGGTACCACTACTGGGTGTTGTTCTGGGCTGGAAATCTGCCCTAGCAGCAAGAAATTTTAAAAAAAATTGAGTCCCTTAGTTCTGGGGAGCGACGCCGGCTCCCCTCCCCCAATCCAGAGCAACCCTTTCTGTCCCCAGCTCCCCTCCTCCCTTTCATTAAAGTTTTATTCAAGATCCTAAGTGCTGCACTTTAATTAGGGTTCCTTCAGGGAAAGCTCTGTGCCCCACCTCCGTCCTGTCGAACAGAAACCCCAGAGCTACAATCGCGAATTAAATAAATGAACTCGTTCCCGTAAACGTGCCATAAAGCATGGAGGCGACTGCTGTGGAAGGGGTGAAAGGAGGAGGTTTCGTCGTTTTTGAAAGAAATTTATATGATATTTTCACCCACCTGAACAGTTGCTCTCTGTTTTCACGAGGGGAGAAATTACTGGATCGACCCTCGGCCTCCTGCCCAAGGGCAGGACACCGGGTACCTCTCTTCAGACGCTGGTCTGGGCCTGGAGAGATTTAAAACATCCAAAGGAGAATCGATGCCAACTTTTCTTTCTATCTCCGATTCCAGTGTGTAGAAGTGTGTGTGTTTGGGGGGGGGGGTTGGAGCGGTAAAAGGAGACTTGAAAGAATGCCATGGTTGCCCCCCTCCCTTTGTATAAATTGCCTCCGAAATAGGAGGGGGACAGAGGGGTAGCAAAAGAATTCAGTCGCCCCTAGCATGATGAGAAGGGAAAAAAGCAGCAACTGCTGGAACCCAGTCTGGGGGGAAGGGGGAGGGACTTTGCCATTGAACTTGAGGATCTAGGCTGGTGGTCTCCACCCCGCCCCCCCCACTCCTAAACGCTCTACGGCAAGAAAGAGGAAGGTGAGGGGGAGAGGGGACTTCTCTGGCTTCCCGAAGGAGCGGGGAAGCCAAACGGCGGGGGGACTGGGAAGGGCAAGAGCTACCGGGAGACCCGCTGGGAGATGCCGCTTTGGGAGAGGAGGCGAGGAGCCTGGGGCGGCATTCCAGTCTTCGCTCCAGGCTCCTCGCCTCCAGACTTGCAGCTATAAGTGGGGAACCACCGGGTGTGGGCAGTCTTGTTGAGCCCCGCCCCAGACTCTGTAGGGAGCCGGCAGTTAGGGCTGCTCTCTGGAAATTCCTCTCCTAAGCTTAGGTGCACCCCTAAGGTGGAGCCTTAGACCACTGGGAGGCTGAAATCTTCAAGCCGATTCCTGCTGAGCTCTGGCCTAGAAGCAAGCTGGATTCTGGTCTAGTCCTTGGCAGAATGAGGAGAAATGTTAAGCGCCCGTTTTTTCAAACCAAGGACCGGTCCGGTTTTTATTATCTCCAAGGGTTTCTCTCTAATAGGTAAACTAGCTAATGCCTGGGCCAAGGGCATTACTGATTTTCCAGTCTGGAATTTGCTTCAGGAGGCTCTGGAAGGGGGTCTTCTAAGAATTTGGGGGATTTTGAAGTCTTTGTAAGTAAGAGAAGGACCTGGAGCAGACTCTCACAGAGACATCAGGGCAGGGACACCTCCTGCTGGTTTCTGGAAAGACCAGCAATCACTTGGGACAAAAAGGGACAAAGAAAATGCTTCCTCGAAGCACCCAGACGTGCACAGCCTTGGCTTGGGAGAGGCTTGCTGGTGGGAGCCAGCACAACAAGTAAGCCCTCAACTAAGTTTGAAGAGATGGAGTCCTGGAACAGAAAAAAGATAATATTATTAGTATTATTTTAATTTAAAACTATAGTATTTTATAAAATAACTTTCAAAAACTGGACAAAATTTAACTTTGATAACAATTTATTAAATCCCCCTTAAGGGAAAAGCTGTAGTCCTTTAAAAAACAAAAG